TCATTTACCAATTTTTGGATCCTTGCAAGTGTTCACAGAATTCTTTATCCTCTTCATTTAACGTCGCTCCAAAACGGATCGGAAATCCTTTATCCGATCCAATTGAAAATTCTGGTATCAGACGATCTTGCTCTTCGACGAGCACTGAGATGACCCAATATTTGCGTAGTATCACAGCAAGTGTAAGTTTCATCTGGAAAATTGTGAAACGACTTGCTGCAATTGAGCAATAGATACAATTATCATCATCTGGTATCCTCAGCATCATCTGTGTTATTAGATTATGATTCCGAGGGAAAATTTTCGAGACTATAGCTTCATGGATTCAAAGAAGGCTATAGTGTCTTCAAACTGAATCTTCATTGTGTCTTCTCGAATCGGATGGGCACAGCACTATGATGTAAGATTAGTGAAACCATGAAATGAGCCATAATATCATTTCACCACCTTCAGTGTTTGGGAGGGTACTCGGAAAACAATCAAAAATTGTGAACGAGACTCTGTAAATTATGGCGCTTTTCAATAATTCTGATGTGAGATTGAAATCGAAATGAAACTTCATCAATGCAGTATCTGTAGCCAGCCCTAAACGGTATAAATGCGAATGGATCTCGTTTTGTGACGTTTTCAGGTGAGAAGTGTTCCTGATCACACACTTCTGGTTTATCGTAATGCTGCAATCGTAATGTTGTTTGGTCATTCATTTAATGGATTTTAACTTCCACTTAAGCACATGACATTCTATTCTCCTCGATCTGCATGCCCCACAAACTAATACCTAAACTGTCCGAACTTACTCCCGTTTAATTATTAAGAGATTCACATTTCTGAACAGCTCTATCAAATAGAAATGCGACTTCCTTCGTTTGGCAAACGGTCACTATTGGCACACTGTAAGGCGACGATCTTGTATAGCGGGAATGTTTTGCGCGAAATGAGTTTGATTCAATTAGGGATCGTGAGAAATTCTCAGGCACGTTGAGAAATATTTAGTTTTCTCAGGAGTTTTTTTCATTACCCGAGTTTAAGGTGAATTATCTGGTACAATCATCGAGACGTCAAGATGTCTTCAACTGGATCTCGAACCCCAACTCAACCTTCACGTCAATCTTCCCAAGCTTCTCCACGTGAGTTTTTGCGCTAATCTCTTTATAAACTTAAATTCTCCTCTTAAATAATCAAAAATCTTATCCTGAATCTTCAGAAAGAAGTGGAAGTCCGTCGCTAAGACCGTTGAGTTCCGTCTACAACTCGCCAGTTCGTTCTCAAGGAAGTCGAGGTAGATCTGCACAACCTCAAGAAAGTGGTATGTGTCTCTTTATTATTCTATAGCTCGTGGATATTCCAATCAAATGATTGATCAATATACGTTGCTGAATGAATTAAAGAAAGGAGCTCGGTTCGGTATGAATCCGACATGGAAACATCAAGCAGAATGGATGGACAAAGCAGTGTTTCGATGGTATCATCGCAAAGGATGGGATCGCATACAAGACCTGACATCAATACCGCACCTGCTCATCACCGTACCGTTCGAATTGAGAATGCCGATGTGTGTCTTTTCTTAATTTTATTCATTTATATTCAAGATGAATCGATGATATGAGGTAATGGTAATGACTGAAATATTAAAGGATGAATTGATGGAAGGGGAGAAAGGTGCGGGAGATGTGACAGCTCGATTATATATATGGGGAACTCGGGTTTGTGTCATCGACGTTCAACGCGAATTCAGAAAGTTTCTGGAGGAATACAAGCCGTCGAGTGTGGCCGATGATGAGAATATCGTCATGCTAGCGTCAAATCAGCAAGCAGGTTTGTTGTATCTGTCGACTATGTGTTAATCGAATGATTAATTGCTTGTTTCAGAAATTGATCTGGAACAACCGTATTACATGGNAAATTAATGCTAAGGTGATGATCGTAATTTCAGGATATAATACCATATTTGGATATCACAGCAAATGAACTATTCCAAGAGAAGTATCAAAAAGTGTTGAATACACCAATCGAAATACGTCCGTTCAACGCTCAAAAGACTCGTAATCTACGAGCTCTGAATCCTGCAGATATGGATCAGCTGATAACAATTCACGGATTGGTTACGAGGACGTCGACTTTAATACCCGAAATGAGACAAGCTTTCTTTCAGTGCTCTATTTGCAACAATTCGGTTCGTGTTTCATCTTCTGTCTGATCTGTCGAGTATGATTGTGATGATTATGACGACAATGGTTTTACAGGTCGAAGCAGATGTGGATCGTGGTCGTATTGAAGAGCCAACATCATGTGCACACTGTCATCATACATACACTTTTCAGCTGATTCATAATCGTTCCCTATTTATGGACAAACAAATCGTCAAGTTGCAAGAATCACCTGGTATTCTATTGTATATTACTTACAATTTATTGTGTACCAATATTAAGTTTGTATGGCTAACAAGTAAAAATTTTAGATGATATGCCAGCCGGTCAGACACCGCACACACTAACACTGTTCGTGCATGGAAGTTTGGTGGAGTCAGTGCAACCTGGAGATAGAGTAGCAGTTACGGGGATATATCGAGCTGTGCCGATACGAATCAATCCGGCATTGAGAAATTTCAACTCGGTTTATAAGACGAATATCGACGTGTTGCATTTCCGACGAACCGATCAGAGTCGATTGCATCAAATCAACGATGGGTTGAGTTATTTGTTTGTTCAATGTTCGGTGTTATTGTTGGAATGTGAGTGATTAAGAATGGAATCTTCAGAACACATCTAACTGAAGA